TAAGTTGTAGTGTTTGGGGACGAGGTTATTCCGGGCGAAAGCCCTTGGAATAAAATTCGTGGGTTCGAATCCCAGCGAGGTCGGAAATTAATTTTTCCGAATTTAATTCCAAGGGCTTTCGCCCGGAATAACCTCGTCCCCAAGCACTACAACTTACCTATATTATCTTCTACTATTTCATTAGTGCCACGCGGTCCACATACTCTAATCCTCACTTGACCAAACTGACCATAGACAACACCAAACAGTGACCAAGGGAGAAAGGGACTGTTTGCAGGCTAAAAACGTCTTTGTCGTTGGCTTACATGTAAACAAGACCAATGTTTTTTTTAATATCAGCTTCTCTCTATGGTCAAGGAGTGTACTTCGCTGTAGAAGCAGAAATATCTGCGAGATCAAATTACTCGCCACCAGATCGACAGGGCAATCGTTACATGTACGTGGCACGTGTATTAACGGGTGAATATACTGTTGGGGACCAGTCTATGGGCGTACCTCCACCAAAGAGTCCTGCAAACATTACAGATAGGTACGACACAGTAGTAGACGACGTGGCAAACCCATCTATCTTTGTAGCTTTCTTTGATTGGCAGTGCTATCCCGAATATCTTATAACATTTCAGTGAAATGATGTATGCTTCGATAAACTCTTTACTTCGCTATAAAGTAAGATGAGATGTTAGCTTGATAGTTAACTATCTTTTAAAACAATTATTAACCTTATAGACCCTTGCAAAACGTAGGAATGCAGCTTAATTTAAAACTACAGTTCCAGAATTCTTTTTGGTAGCTTTTTTACAGTGCTAATTTTCACTATTGTCTTGGTATTGTCAGAGGAGTTTTAACATTTGAAAATGAAAAAAATGAAAAAATATTTTGAAAAGGATTGTGGTTTATAGGTATGAAACGTCATAAGGCGGTTAAGGTCTATTCCGCATGACATTGAAAATGTTTTGTTTTGTTCTCCAAATTGAGCTGCTTTGACGTCACATGCAGGGGGTCTATTGTATCTCTATTTTAGGATTCGGATAGCTTAGCAAATAGGCTATGACTATGGCTTATGTATTCGTATAGCTGATTCTAAAAATATATATATAAGCGTACATACAAGGTTTGAGCCTTCGCTCCCTCGATTTTGGGGCCTTCATTTCCCATAAGCAGCAAGATCATAACGATKGTCCCGATCTTATTGATTTAAGTAGTCGGTACTGCTAAAAACAACGCCCCTTCCAACTCTGAGACCTGCTAAAATTCATTATCATGTAATGCCAGGTGATTKCGCTTCTCTCAACCAGAACAAATTAGCCAGTCAGCGAACATTTTATTCAAAGCTTAATATTTCCTAGGCCAGGTTTTTAGCTCGATAAACAACAGCTTTTGCCCAAAAATAAAATAAAACTTCGAATTCTCCGCGGGAGGATTCACCAAATTATCTTTTAGAAATAGTAATTTTCTTTGTCGTTGGGGAAAATATTTGGTTTTGACAAGAGATAATAAAAAATACTTGGAAATATTCGCTGTGATAATCAATGCATTGCGCGCTTAGATTCCAAATTACCTGGTGACTATTACTGTATACAAATGCAATGTTTAATGAAGTGGCTGGTATTCAGTTGCATAGAAGTCTATTTACATGATAGAAATGTATCCATCGATGAATGATAAAGCAGAGTTTTATTGAACGTTATAATTATATACTTGATATGCTGGTTAAACTTAAACTTTTTATTATTAGTTAGGTCTATATTTACTCCTCTTGTATTTGCACTAACGATTATRTGGTTGGTAGCCTGAGAAAACAGACGTCTTTTCGCTCCCCCTTTCGTTGCTTTCGCGAAGGCATGGAAGAGCGAAAGGACGTCTGTTTTCTCAGGCTACACACTTATTTCAATAAAGTTAGTGACCAAAAACCTAGAAAGCTAAGATCACTGAGGATCATGGGAAACTCATATCCATAAAAGCAAAGCCTTTTTGATACAGACCGCAGCTTGAGAATGCTCAGAAGAGACTGTACTACTAGTAAAATATGTGCAAGTACATAAACAGTTATCAAGCGATTGAAACTTGTAAAATATATGTATCTACGCATAATACATGTCGGTATCACCTTTGTAGCATTTCAGGCGACTAACTTTATTGAAATAAGTATATGTAGCTGGTTTCCTTATCTGGCTTCATTCTTGGTATTATGACATATATACTTCACTGAAGTCTTAAGATTTAAAGCACTGCTTACTAATTTATTACTAGGACTAAAGTGTTCTTCAGGAGCGGTGTTTTAGATCAAGTTGAAATAAATAATGTATCCACTGATTTTAATCAAACTTTTAATTTTTGCCTGTGTTTTACAGCGGGAACCTCAATTTATTCGCATAGTTTCTTGTTCGCTTTGTTACGATAAATGAGATTATTTTTTATTGTTAGAGTGTGCGCCATATATCCGTGAAACAGATCCAAAGATTTATTGTCTAATAGCAACTATTTTGCTGCTATTTTTCACCCAAATAGTTGATAATTAAATACTCAGTTTAAGCGGTGTGTGGCTAGTAATTGTATAACAGTAACATGATGTGACATTAATGTAAAACAAAGAACTCCTTCCCAATTAGGGAAAATGGGAAGATGTTGTACAGAACATAACAGCAACTTTTGTACATTGCTAGGAATGATAACGCCTTTTCTCTATATGCCACTAGTCTTTACTGCCATTTTCATAAACATGCGAACTCGTCAAGTGCGAGCTGAACGCTGAAATTTGGGCTTTCAGTCGGTACCTTCATATTAGGGACCTTAAGCTGCAGGACGGGAACGACGACGACGACGGCAACCATACAATAGCAGTAATTGCGCTATTCAATAGATACTCGTTGGAATGTACGAAATACTGTGCATCATTGCCGTCTTATGCTGAAAGTAAGACGTGAAATGTCTTATTTTTACGTACTAAAGAGAACGGCCACGCCAATAGCTTATCTTTTCTGATTTTCGTTATAAGTAAAGCGCTCCCAAAAGACGTCATTTCACTCTAAAACGGGGATGCTTAATGAGTAAAATACTAGGTAAACTCGAAATAATGATACAATAGAAGGTTGAAGCGCCTAAATTTCGCCGACGTTGTCGCCCACGTTGCCGTCCTGCAGCTTAAGGTCCCTATTGCTTACTGGCGGCAGCTAACCCTCCCACC